CGCTTGCGCGGCCGGGCGCCATGCAGCCCGCCTTCATGCGCTCCTCGACGGAGGGGCAGCAGCATTCGGAGGGCGGCGGCGGCGGCGCCTTTGGCGGCGCCTACAGCGGTGGCAGCCTGGGGTATGGCGGCAGCCTGGCCCTGCCCCAGCTGCCCCCCCGCGAGCCGCTCAGCAGCCGGCTGGCGGCGGCGGCGGCGGCGCACGGCTCGGAAGGCTCGGCCGGCGGCGCCGCCGCGCCGCAGCCCGCGGGCCTGGGCGGCGCGCCGCTGGCGCCGCTGCGCGAGTACGCCGCTTGGGCGCTGCACGGCAATGCCATGCTGGAGCCGGTGCCAGAGGTGGCGGAGAGCCCCTACCAGGCACGCAGCCACGGCGGCGCCGCATCCAGCGCCGCCTCCACAGCCCTGCCCGGCTCCCCGCTCACCCCGGCCTCCGCCTTTGCCGCCGGAGGCTCGCCCCTGCCCGGCAGCGGCGCGGCGGCGCAACAGCTCAGCCCCGGCGGCCTGTCCGCCGCCGCCACCCCTGGCCCCGGAGGGCTGTCGCCGTTGGCCGCCGCCGCCACCCCCACCTACAGCCTGGGCTCTGCGGCCGGCAGCCAGGCGGGGTCTGCGCGCCGCTCGCCCCTCAGCCTGGCCGGCACCCCCCAGCCCGACTTTGGCCTGGGCGGCGGCGAGGGGTGGGGTGGGTCGCCCTCGTCGGGCGCGCACCTGGCGCACGCCCCCACCCCGCTGGGCCTGCAGGGACGCTACGAGATCCGACAGTTCAGGTGCCCTGACCCCGCAGGCTGCCCCGCTTTTAACCGCGCTGTGTGCGTTGGTGGCCCTCAATGCCTGAATCCATCATGGGGCGTCCGCTGGTGAACCGCCGCCATCGACGGGGTCGCACGCGCTCACACCTCCCGCTGGCCCCCCTGCCTCTGCCTCTGCCCTGCAGCGCTGGCACCGACTACCTGGCTCCCGCCGCCCCTGCCGCATACAGCACGCCGCTGGCGGCCCAGAAGACGCCGCCGCCGGGGCTGGCCGAGCTGCAGGTGGGCCCAGGCGGCTGCCGGGGGGGGGGCACAGTCACATGGTACAGGCACATGGTACCAGACGGATTTAGCGGCGGCCGTGGCCATGAGCTGACCCACGCCTGTGCCTGCCTGCCCGCCTGCAGGGCGACTACAGCATCCAGCGCCTGCATGCCGCGGCCGAGGAGGATGGGCGCCACCTGGCGGCGCAGGCCACGCCGCCCCACCCAGACGCCGCCTACGCCTCCCTCATCGCCGCCTACCCTGGCAGCCTGTCCGCGGCAAAGACGCCGCTGCTGCACATCAACCCGCTGGCGATGTGAGGAGGCGGCGGGGGCCATGCGGGGCAGCGGGGCATGCCTGGGTGCAGGCGGCAGCAAGCGCCTCCCCGATTAGTGTTAGATTCCCCTGCTTGATAGAGCCACGGCTCGAGTGTTCGAATGTCACAGCGATGCTTGTAAGGTCCAGGAGCAAGCTTGTGCAAGGGAGGCAAGGGATCACGCATGTGCCGATTTGGATGGAGCGGGTACGGTGTGGACATAAGATTCCAGTACCAATGCAGAGGGGAGTGCAGTACAACACAGACAGACCAAAGATATCTGAAGTGAAGGGTCACGCATCCGGGTGCCTGCCAGCGGCGGGAGGCGGCTCGCGGTCGGCATCCGCCAGCCTCAGCGCCTAGGATGCCTGCTGCGGCAGCAGCTGCACGGTGGCCACCAGGCCAAAGTGGTCTGCAGCAGGGCCGGGTGCTGCTCGCTCAGCCCTGGGCTCAGGCCGTGCCAGGGCCAGGCAAAACCATGCGACGCACTGCCGCCTGCAGGGCAGCGCTGATGCGGTGCAGCGCTGGCGGCCAGCCCCCCACCTGACAGGTAGTCTGCGTGGCCGGGCGTCATGGGCTGGTTGGCCACCATCTGAAGCTCGGTGGCCACAAAGCCGCTGAGGTAGATGCGGTCGTAGCGGCCGGTGTAGGCGCGCTGGTCTGCAGGAGGGAGGGGCGGCTGGGGAGGCAAGGTGAGGGCGCGCTGCAGCCAGGACGCCAGGCATGGCGGCAGCCGTCGGGCTCTGCATGGGGCTGGGTGCGGCGGGGGGCCAGCACGGGCGCTGCTGCGCTGGCAACCACAGCGGCAGCACAGCAGGGCGCCAGCAGCCGGCCCCCTACCGGCCCCGTGGTACTTGTTGATTGTGCTGTTCCAGGTGAAGCTGTGTGAGGGGGGCGAGCCTGCCTGCTTGAAGGCGTCGCCCAGGCCCAGCGCCTCGACTGCACACAGGGCGGTATGCAGCGGGCAGGCAGGAGGCTAGGCCGCTGTGGTTGGATGCAATGGCGGCAGCAGACCAACCACAGCTGGCGCTTGCAGGCTCGCGGCGGCTCGCAGCGGGGCAGGCAGGCACGAGTGCTGGGGTAGCTGCCGGGCAGCTGCCAGGCGTACCGCTGCTGTTCTCCGCGTTGCGCATGTTGCAATCGCCGGCCAGCACGAGGCGGCAGCGCGGCGGCAGGCTGCGCAGCGTCGCGGCGATCTGCTGCAGCCGGAGGCACGCGCCCTGCGCATACGGCTCCAGGTGGCAGCCTGCAGGGGTGACGAGGTGCTGGCGGCGGTTGGCTGGCACAGCTCTACAAGGATGCGGCGGCCACGGCTGCAGCCAGCGCCAGGCGGCGCCTCACCGGCAAAGTAGAAGCAGCCGTCGTCGCCCGTCAGCTGGATCTGGGCTATCGCCACCGGCCCCACAGACCGTTTGGGCTTGGCTTGCAGGCTGGCGGCGGCCCAGATGTGCGTGCTGTGGCAGTGGCTCTCCGCCTGCGTCAGGTGCTGCCAGCCGGCATCAGCCGCCGAGCCCAGCGCGGCGATGAAGTACTTGGCGGCCTGGCTATCCAGCTCCTGCAGGCTGATGAGCTGCGGAGAGTGGTGCTTGATTAGCTCCACGATTGCCTCGTACTTTGAAAGGAGAGAGAAGCCTGCTGGGGCCCAAGCGCTGAGATTGCCGGCGCTCACGTTGAGCGTGAACACCTTAAACATGGTGCAATGGGAAACGATTGATTGAAAAGAGAGAGAGATCACGGGTGACCTTGCCCTCAGCCTGAGCGCAGCACAGCCGGGAACTCATCTGGATGGGTGGTTGCGCGACTCTCACACCTGTACTTTCCGTCATGCGATCGGCACCTCACCTGGCTCTGGGTGTTGGTGCCGGCGCGCCGGAGCCCGCCGCCGCTCGTGCGGCTTGAGCCGCTCCCGGCCTGCGTCTAGCGCACCATGCTCGCCAGCAGGGTTGCAGCGCCCAGTGGCGCCGCCTGGTGCAGCACCCAGTGCGCACCGCACCACCGCTGCCGCCGCCACCATGCCGCCACTGGCGGCAGCACGCCGCACGAGGCCGCCCAGGGCCCGCCCGAGCCGGCGCCTGCCCAGCAGCAGCAGCGGCGGGAGCAGCGCGAGCAGCGGCGAGAGGAGTTTGACATTGTGTCAGGCACCCGCCTACCCCAGGCAGAGGGCCCCTCCTGCGACTGGCCCCGCCCAGATCAGCGGCGGCGCTGGGAGGTGGGCCGCCGCAGTGCTGCCTCCCTGCCCCAGCAAGCGAGGCCCAGGCTGCACGCACCCCTCCTGCCTGCTCTTGTGCACTCCCCATGCTGCACACCTGCCCCGGCTGCTGTGCCCTGGCGTGGTCCTGCGTGTGCAGGAGGCGGCTCTCATGACCACTGGCTTCCCCGTCCCCGCGGGCTACGGCACAGCCAACCTGCCCCCCGCCGCCGGCAGCGGCATGCTGTGGCGCCTGCGCAACCCGGAGCGCGACCCGCCGGCGGCCACCAGCCCCAGGGCGCCGGCCGCGGGGGCGGCGGCGCGGCGGCGGCCGGGGCCGCAGCCCGGCACACGGTCGGCGACCGACGGCGCCTCGGGGGCCCCGGGGCCTGCCACCCCTGTTGTCCCGGTCTTCCGCGCGGCTCCATACTCGGCTGAGGCCGCCCGCCAGCGCCGCCCCTCCCCCACAGCCCGCATCCTGTTTCTGGATGACGGCTGCACGTGCCGCGCGCCGCTGGCGGTCGCCGTGCTGCAAGGCATGCTCAGGTGAGGGGTCTTGACGGGGCGGCCTGCTGGGGCGCAGCGGCGGCCAGCGGCAGCCGGCTGGCCGGCCCTCCCGCTGCATGCCTCTGCCTGCAGTGGAGCAGCAACACGCACCGCTGTCCTCGCCTCCACCACACCGCAACACAGCACACAAAGCCAGCCCCCCCCCACACACACGCCCACCACCAGCCAGCCCCATCCCCGTTCCCCGCCCTGCAGCAAGCTGGCGCAGCCGCTGGATGTGGAGGCGCATGCCGCATCCATTGGGCC